TATGTTTCCCTACCTGTACTTTTCCCTATCTATATGTTTTCCTATCTATATGTTTTCCTATCTATATTTTTCCCTATCTCTATGTTTCCCTACCTGTACTTTTCCCTATCTATATGTTTTCCTATCTATATGTTTTCCTATCTATATTTTTCCCTATCTCTATGTTTCCCTACCTGTACTTTTCCCTATCTATATGTTTTCCTATCTATATGTTTTCCTATCTATATTTTTCCCTATCTCTATGTTTCCCTACCTGTACTTTTCCCTATCTATATGTTTTCCTATCTATATGTTTTCCTATCTATATTTTTCCCTATCTCTATGTTTCCCTACCTGTACTTTTCCCTATCTATATGTTTTCCTATCTATATGTTTTCCTATCTATATTTTTCCCTATCTCTATGTTTCCCTACCTGTACTTTTCCCTATCTATATGTTTTCCTATCTATATGTTTTCCTATCTATATTTTTCCCTATCTCTATGTTTCCCTACCTGTACTTTTCCCTATCTATATGTTTTCCTATCTATATGTTTTCCTATCTATATTTTTCCCTATCTCTATGTTTCCCTACCTGTACTTTTCCCTATCTATATTTTTCCCTATCTATATGTCTGTCTGACAAGTGTATTTTTCATTTAGTCCCTCAGGCATGGATTCATTGACAAGCCTTGGCTCGTTCAGTACCAGTCGTTCTGCTAAGAAAGTATTTAATTTATCAGATATTTATTTATGGCAAAACTATCTCATGTTTGCTTGTACTGTCCATCCTATCTCCGCCATTGACCAGCCTTCGTGTGATACTGACAATGGGTAAGGTTTGTTTCATATTTACTGCATACTTTTGTTCTGTTCACTTACAAATAGTGCACAATCCTGGACAACAGGGTCTTAGCTAGAGGGCCGTGTTGGCCGTGTTATCGCGGCCAAAAGTGGAAAAACACGGCTAGATAAAATGAACGCGGCTTCACTATTTATATGAGGCAGTGTATGTTCATAAAATAAGGTGGTGCATGCTACTTACAACAGACAGAATTTCTTCCTATTTACGTCGTAAGAAACTTTGTAAAATCTACTGTTGTTGTTGAATTGGCAAAAGTGATTCGTGATGTTTTAATATTTTGATGGATAATGGGAACTGTATGGTGTTAAAATGGTTTTAAATACCCCCAAGAGTTGCTGAAATAACTTAATATTTTAATGTCGGTGCGCAATATGAGCGTATGCTCGCCTTGTATATTTGGTTGCAAAGCATAGAACAACGACAAGCATTATTGTTGGCGAGCAAAACTAGAACCGTGATTTTGCTATTCAAGGTAATTGACATCTGCACGCCCTGGTCATTAGAAACACGCCCAAGATCTAAAATCCTAGCTAAGACCCTGCTGGACAACAAACACTCGAACGCTGTTTCTTCAGGCTGACAATTACATATCATGGCTGCTTTCATCTACAAAATGGTTGCATCCCCCCCCCCCAGGTACAATGTTGCTGTCTCAAATGTCAACAGTTATATAGTACCAGGGGAAGGGGGATGGATTTTTGGAGGATATATTAGAAATTGTGCAACACTATTTTATATTTAATGTGTTTGTCCGAGTGATTTTGTCCAGTACAGTAGATAAGCATATACATATGTTTAGAATCTCAACTGAAGGGATGTCCAAGGAACATTATCTGTGCCTTAGAGACCTTTTGTATACAGTTTCTCAAATGTGTATTCGTCACAGTATTTTGTTTTACATGTTTTAGAAATTCCTCAGATGAAGGGAAGTCTGATCCAAGGGTAAGTTGAACGTTTTACTGAATGTGAAATAATTCGTTAGGACACAGGGTGGAAACAATTCTATTCTTTATCTATAGTCATCTAGTCGTGACGGAGCATAAACTTTATTTGAAGCTGCTCCAGTGCGTACTGATGAATCTACAGTAGTCCATTTATCTGTACAGAATGACGTTACATATACGACGTTGTGTTCCCCACTGAACTCAATACATATAAGAATTTGACAATATTACACTGAGACTAACTATGATTTATCTCTGATTTATATAGCCATCCACTCCTGATAGAGTGGAATGTTTGTTCAGATTTGCAGTCGCCTTAGTGCGTAATGAGTCCAGTGAAATAAGGAATGCTGTGATCAAGTGCCTCGGCCGAGTCAGTCCTGTTTCATACAAGTAAGCAGCATTGGAATACGAACTTGTAGTGTACAAATTTGCTCGAATCTTGAGTTACTGAAATATTTTTCGTGCTGTCCGAAACGGGAATTGAACCCACGCACGGTCTCTGGTTAATTAAACCTCCCAGAGGTCTACGAGTGTCTCAATTTCGGGCCCGCAGTAATTGGCTATTCGCTGTTGCGGTCACCCAGCCGTGGTCATGTACCTACTGTATTTCATTATGTACGTTTGTTTTTGTCCTGTCATGTAATGTACTGTTTCATCGGCAAAGTTTATAAATTAAAAATTAAAAATTAATCAGACACCTAGAAAAGCTGAGTGGTCAGAATGCTGGTACATTGACGCATGGACGGAGCGCTATTTTTCCTTTCAATTTCAAATTCTTATTCAAAATGTTTTGATTACTGTCAACTGAAGATGAATTTTTCAGTTAGGTGAAGATAAATTTGGTCTCGGCTCAAGGTTCTTCTACAGGCATTAATCCAGAAAGTCATATTTCAGCAAGTGATATTCGACTCCATGTGGATATCTTAATTAACATGCATCATTCTATTTTGTTATTTTTTGTATAATTAAATTTTAAATTGCATTTCTTCCAAAACTATCGTGCAACTAAATTTTTATCGTGGAACTAAATTTTGGTTTTCAATTTCCAGGGAGTTTTTTGACGAGCTTCAAGTATCGTTGTTACAGTATGTGTTGGAGAAACGTACGGAGGTAATACATTAAACTTTGTGACTTTCCATATGAATGTTCCCAAATAACATCAAAATTTTGGGCAGTTTAGCGTTATTAGCGACCTTAAGCATGCATGTAAGGCAACGCGACGACGACGGCAAACAAACGCGTTGAACTAAATGATTGTAAAAAAACTTTCAGATTATGTCTTGCCAGGTAAGGTTGAGATTTTGGAATAAGGATAGGATTAGAGTTACTATTTCTGTGTTGTACATCAAGTATTTGCTATTCCAGTTCTGAACTGTTTGAAGCTCGATGTCCTGGACGCAAGACAATGAAGATATACAAGGAAAACATCAGAAACTTGCGATCCTGAAAAACTGTTCACGCAAAATAAATGATCGAATTCCTTCTTTCACGTGTACGTAAAAGATTCAAAACCATGTGATCATCACGAATCACGAATTGAGAAAACCATCGAATATGTTTCAAGGCTATGGAAAATAAACCCTATCGCACTCACACGAAAAGTATTGACGGCCCTCATGAAATGGATTGTTTGAAGTTTCTATGCATTTTTGCCATTTAGAGTATGAGAAAACGTAAGAAAAGAGATAATATACGAACATATCTTGCAAAAATTTTCGAGTTGAATGCAGAACATGGCTGCTTCAGAGAAAGGTGCGTCCTGTTGTGTAAATTTATTTCCAAAATATTTTCTCCAAGAGAGGTGATGATCGTGGAATCATAACCAGAATTATAATTCCTAGAACTGAAATCCATCACAGTCTCACCTGCTGAGCGATGTGATTCTATGCGGTCGCCACAAGATGACAATAATGTAATTTAGTATAAGTGAACATAACAAATCCTACACGTTGATTGGTCAAATTTGACGTATTAATCTGTTATATTCACCTACAGGTGAATATAGCAAAATCGAAATTTTCAAAATGGCGGCTAGCCGTTTTGTTGAAGTTAGTGATAAAGAAATAAGCGAAATTAAAATGAATTCTGACCAGAAAAACACAAAAAAAACTTGTGCAAAAATACTAAAACAATTATTCGCCCCCCAGGCTCGGTGATTATCGGGGAATATTCACCTCGACTTCGTCTCGGCGAATATTCCCCGATAATCACCGAGCCTCCGGCGAATAATTGTTAATTATTGTTATTTATCATCTTTGGAGACCAAAATTCAAATTATTTTTGATAAATTTTCCTAATCGAAGATTCATTGTTAATTGAGCTTTTATTATATAATGAGCCGTATAATTTCTCCACTCCTGTTGCTCAAATGCGAAAAACGTGAACAAGTTTTCAAGTTTTCAAGTTTCACCCCGAGTAAATCGCATCGGTCAGCAGGTGACACTGTGCCTTTAAACTAAAGAAACCCACCACAAGTTATCAGGGACAGTTTGGTAAAGCCATATACTACAGCGTATCAACGTAAAAAATAAAGATTACTAATCCAACAATATGTGAATAAAACATTATGATGAATAATTCGAATATGGCCTGGTTATCCAAGTTGTTTTGTACCATATAAAACAAAATTTGTACAAAATAAAATATGTAATTTAGACATTGGAAGGAGCCGTGCAGACAGCCAGATTCAGACAATATAGAAAGTAATAATTGATATTATTTATTAAAAAAATTCCTGGTTTCTGATTGGCTAACAGCCAACTGTGAAATTGTCATATCAACTCAATGGCTAACCAAATACGGATTTTTCTCATTCATATTAGCAAAATGACGCCGAAGAGTCAATATGAAAAACATTTGGACGCGTTTGCGCCATATTACTATGACGACGAGAATCATATTGACTCGCTGACGCCATTGATATGACGCGACGACGGCTGCCGAAGGACTAAGCAATTGTTTTTTTCTTAATACAAATAAAATACAAATGTTTGTTTTGAATTTTTTAAATAAATAATAAAACAATTATTGAATTCGGTTTTCGCACAATATGAAGAATTATCAAGCCCTCAGTTTGCCGTTATAACGGCAAACTTCGGGCTTGATAATTCTTCATATCGTGCTCAACCTCATTCAATCAATAATTGTTAAATACTGTAATCCACTTTATATATTGTTAACTGTGCAAGTTTATGTTCTTTTTTTACTTAACAATATATGCATGCATGGTGTTAATTTTATTTTCTAATTTAGTCCTAGCGTTCTATCTGAAGAAGGTGCTTTATCTCCGATATTTGTGGAATATATTGAAAACACAAGGTATGTTAGATATCATGCTCATACAATTACACCCGACTCTTGGTGAGTGAAGGTAAAAGGGAAGTGTTGGTCGCGTTCGTTATGATCGTTGCAACGCCACGTTTCTGGACAAGGTGACCGGCCTCTCTATAGGTAGACAACGCAACATTCTATTCAAACAAACGCATGATGGCATTGTCTACATGCATGTATCAGAAAGGCCAGTCAATCAGTCTAGAAATATCACGTCGAAAAGATTACAACAGCATCTAACAATTACGTCAACGTTCAACTTGAATCTACTGTATCGTCGTGTTGCTATCCCTAGTAATCCACTTGAAGTATCTCTGGTAATTTACCGTTTGTTCTATCCTTAATCTGGGTTCAGTAGCCTGTATGGTCCTAGTATTTGTAAGCATAAGATTTTCCCACTGGAATACTTTCAGCTTCTGCGACAAGATAGTGTCCCTGCTGGAATATTCAAGCCAAAATTTCGAACACATGGAAATAATGTGGGGTTTTTTCATATTTAGATTATATTTCTGCAGTGGTGAGGCTGATAGAGATCCATCCGCGGTTCATCAACTTAAATTAAACTTTGCAAGATTTATTCATAAGATGATAAAGAGTTTTCCACGTAAGTTGAATTACTTTTAACAATTACAGGTAAACTACGTGAAGCGTTCCTCTTTTGACTTCCTAACTCATTTGGAATTTTCCTCATTAGCTTTCAATGCAAATTTGAAAAACTCTTTGCAAATCCCTTGAGGGAATTTGCAATGTTCCTATCGGCTGTTGCAATATTCCAATGCAAAAAAACTTCATTTTAAATTTTCCTAACTTCCTGTTTTAATTTCCTGACTTCCTGTTCTGTTCTGTTCTGTTCTGTTCTGTTCTGTTCTGTTCTGAGTGTTGTCATTGGTGGATTATTTTTGTCAGCCAATACAACGCGCAGAACAGAACAGAACAGGAAGTTAGGAACTTGTAACAGGAAGTTAACAATTTTTAACAGGAACAGAGGAAAATTTAATCGGCTTTTAGCAACATTGCGAATTCCCTCAAGGGATTTGCTAGGGAGTTTTTTAAATTGCAAAGGTAATGAGGAAAATTGCAGTCAATTTAGAAAGTCAAAAGAGGAACACTTGATATAGTTTACCTGTAATGTACATGTGGCAAGATCGATTCTCCTTCACATGTGCAATTTCTCTCACCGTTTTTGGTAACAGAATAACACTTTTGGAGTTGATTCAAACTTCTTGAAATTTACAGTTATAAAACTAGGCTATACATAGAGAATAATATCTCACGAGTGAGCGCAGCGAACGAGTGAGATATCATGTTCAACACGAGAAATAAATCTGGTATTTCCAAACACCCATGTATTTTTCTGTTTATTATATAAAGGACAGTCTTTGAAAAGCGATAATTTTTACAGAAAAGCGATCATTGAAAAGCTATAATTTCACATGTGAGATTATCTTGAATAATCTCACATGTGAGATTATCACTTTTATCAGTGCTCGAAATCTCTATAAAGCACTATACTTTATATAATATAAATTAATACATTGAATTTCATATAGCGCACTCACACCCAAATGCATTTTACATAGTAAATATATGATTAATATATATACACAACTAAAAATTGAAAATTGATTAACCTAGGAGTACCAAATAATTATACGCAACCAAACTGTACACGCAAGACTAACAAGGTGTACGTGTCTTGAGTTTCTGCTTAAAAATGACAATACTACGCCTAATGTCAGCTGATGGCAGTCGGCGGTATAAACATACCTACGAATTTGAAAATATTCTTAAAGTGATAAAAAGCAGATCCCAAAAACTTGGGAACTCATTGATATGCTGCTCAAAGTTCATTGCTCTGTCGAACACAACTCAATATTCCGTGCAGATGGACTCACTGAAATTGGGAAGTGCCCGACTATGATTGATTCCTAGGATATAGCTGTGGGCAATGTTTTGAGTACAGTACAATAAATACAATAATTTATATTGTTCTACGCGAAGGTATAGTTACATTTATCTTGCAAGTTTATTTGATTCTGTTTGCAGATTCCACGCTTTGCACAGGACAACTTCTGACGAACGAACTCAGAAGAAACCTGTTTTCCCTCTTGAGTTCATGGTTTTCTAAAACTGGCACTTCTCCACCAGTTGAAAAGTATGTATCTTATGGTTCTTCAATGCCATTTTCTGTCATTGAAATAATATTCATGTGATGTTTGTTTTATTTATGCTCTTTATAATTAATTAAGTTATGTTACTTTTCGTACCAATTTTCCAATAGACATCTTCAACTGAAAATATTTCTCATAATGAGCGTTCAGTAAAACTTTCCAATAGACATCTTAATTCAACTGAAAATATTTTTCATAATGAGCGTTCAGTAAAACTTTCCAATAGACATCTTCAACTGAAAATATTTCTCATAATGAGCGTTCAGTAAAACATAAAATCAACCCGACAATTCGCAGCGTGTAAACATGCACCTTTAAAATCCCAGAAAATAAAAATGTGACATGATAGCATTTTTCTCCGAATTAACTAAAATGTTTCTTACAGAATGAGTTTATTGCCACCTGATAAAAGAAGTGAACTGGAAATTGCTGCAATTCAGGTAGATAATCCAAAATTTTTTAGAACCACTGAGTATTTTAACAAAATACAAAACAAGTGTAACTCCAAAGATCGATAACATTTTTATATTTATCAAATATTATATTTATCTTTGGAAAATATTAAAAAAATGTTATCGATATAAAAATATAAAAATGTTATCGATCTTTGGAGTTGCACTTGTTTTGTATTCAGGTAGATAATGTTATATATAGTATGGATACTACACTGTGCGCTCTAAAAACCTGGGTATACGCGAAGTCACGTATTGTATACGAATGCGTTAACTGTATGTAAGAACTACTGTATCAACCATAGATGTTTTCCTATTTTCGTCAAGATAGTGGCTATCCAGTGAGGGACACAAAATCTAAGAAAATTTTGTCCAGACTTGCAGCTTGATTTAAAACAGAAATATCATCTGCATACAGTATACTGTAGTGCCCGTGTGATACTAAGCATGGTTTTAAACTTAATCCCGCCAGTATAAACCATACGTTGTTCGTCACATGTGTGTAAAGGCCTCGACTACAGTATCTACCGATATTTCCACCGTTGACCATGTACTTGTTGGCATTCTTGTATAATCATGGGAACTTATCTTACTATACACACTTCTTGTCAAATATACGACAGTATAATGTTTGAGGATCTTGGCTTGTTAAATTTTTAGGCTCTATGTGCTGTACTTTGCTGTGGCCCTGTATTCGACAAATGTGGACTCACTAATGATGGTTATTTTTATAAATGGATTGAAAATGTATTATGTTCCCCGGACGAAAACGTATGTAATACAGAATATGATTGCAGTATATATAATCTCAAATATATATGGGGTTAACCTTTTGATCTCCCTTATTCGTATATTATTTTCCTCACATGAATAAAAGAATGCTGAACGATAGTTTCTTGGAATTTTGTCAAAACATTTTTTTATCAAATTTTGTACATCAAGGATTTGCGAACATTTTACAATACTTTATACTTTGTAGTTTGGTTTTAGTTGCTTTCGATAATTCCAGTTATCACAAAAACCTCGTCCTATAATTGTTTAATATTTGTTGTAGATAAATTGTATTGGTCAAGAAACATTAGAACTTTTGCTGGACTTGAACGATGATGTTCCATCAGTGTTAGAATGGGTTATTAATAAATGTTACACTGGAAATAAAGTGATCTCGAACAAATGTTTTCAAGCTCTTACAACTGTCATGATTAGAAGGTGAGCTGAGAAAACATGCATTTCTGAACGTTCTCTCTCGTCAGTCTCACTGTTGCGGCTAAAGACCTACCTAAAATGATCATGTTTTGTGGCTTTCAGAAACAAATCAGAAACAAAAAAAATGATCATTGTTCGTGACTCGTTCTTTAGAAAGACGATTTCTATAGTTTTATTGTCTTTCATTGTTATAATCAACCAACCACGAGCCTGGATAGTATAGGTAGATGATGACCCATTGTTGTTTATCAAGATATGATAGTTTGGAAACTTAACAGAAGTGATTATGTTATGTTTTTGTCTGAGTTTATTTTTTAATCAAGTTGAGACAAATTATTTGTGCACGGTGAGAACAGTTCAACATCAAACAAAAATCTTCAAATTTGTAGCTTTGAAGTTTTGTCTGGCTTCCAGACCATCATCATATCTTGACAGACTCAGGCTGTTATGAAAGTAGATGGAATTTTCGAACGAATATTTACATACAATTTTTATATAATTGATATTCATTTTCGTTCGAAAGTTCCAGATACAAAAATCTCTTCCACATTCAGTACTATCGAACGAGATGCCAAAATCTGGTTATGAAAATAATACAGTTTACCGGATTGTGTTGTTGTAGGACGACGATTTCCTTTTCTCTCTTCGCCATTTAAAGTCCCATTAACTTCGGATACGATTTTTGGTATGTGTATAATAGTTGGGTCATCTGAAGAAGAGATATACTGTAATATAACCTTGATTAAATTAATAGTAAAAAATCTCATTCTATCGACTTTTTCACTGTCAAAGTTGCCTGATCAGTCAGTGGATAACAACATATCTGTGAGCTTTGACAGCGAAAAAATAATCAAGATGATGTTTTTTCACTAAAATATTACACGTACCGAAAATCTGTGCATCTTTGTTTGTGACCTCCAGAATGAAAAGGCTCATTGGTCACTTTCAACCAAAAGTGTCTAATATCCAACAGTTTTGAAACATTTTTAGAAGAAATCGAACTTTCGAACGTGCAAATTTATTCCTTCCTCCGTTAATTTTCAATGTCGCTGCTGTTGTTGAAATGTGTTTTGTGTGTGATCATATTAAAAAAAGGCTGGTGTCTTCGTTTTGGAAAAACATTATATTTCCTCCTTCTGTGGCGCAGTCGTCAGAGCACGCGGCTTTCACCTCTGAGTTTGTGGCTTTGATTCTCGCTACGGACTCGTGTGAAAAGAGTCAGTCAACGCTCTGCCCAAACTCGTGGGTTCTCTCCAGGTGTTCCGGTTTTCTCTCACTGGGAAAGTTGACAGGGTGGGTTAGGATAATATCACAATTAAGTTCTTTGTAGGTTTGCATGGCGATAAAACATATAATACTTTAGTTTGTGGAAACACCAGGTAAATTTATTACTGCAAAGCACTGATGAAGATCCGGGCTTACGGATCGAAAGCTTTGCAGTAATAAATTTACGTGTATGTTTCCACAAACTAAAGTATTATAATATCACAGTTGTTGTAAAGTTAAAATGGTCTAGGCTAAGCATGGATAATAAAATAAATGGATAGGAAACTTCTGACGTCATTGGCCGCAACCTTGTTGAAAAACGTGACGTCACGTGTATTGCGAATATTACCAAAGTTCTCGGCATTTTTGTTGTTTTGCTATATTTTCCACTTTAAAAGGGTGATATTGAAGCATAAACTGGTCTAATTGTTTTAAAAACATGCCTAAGCCACGACAAAGTATTCAAGGTAAATGTTTTTCGTCTTTGTTTTGTATCTTTTTACATTTGTAGCTACGAAATTGGCGTCACAAATTTCAACGAAATTTGCGATGTAGTTTTCACTGTTTAGTGCTTGAAATATTTGCTAAAATTGACTGGGAATACTTAGAGTTTTCATCGTAGAATGGCGTGGTTATATTTATTTGCTCTTTGACTAAAATGTCTAGCTGTATTATTGCTAAACATGCCGTTTTTGAGAATTTGGTTTTCAACTAGGTTGAGGCATCCAACCACGCCATCAGTCCATTAAAAACATTAGGTCACGTCAGCTAGTTTCCTATCCATTTATTTTATTATTCATGGGCTAAGTAAGTAATTATTGTAGGTGAGCATAATACTTGACGTAAAGTACATTTGATCATATCTACATGTAAATTTATGCTATAGAAATGTTAATTGTAATGGTAAGTCATGTATTTTGTTTCTCAGACCATATCCTTGTGAAGCTATCGCTGTCATCAGTGTTGTTTTGTTCAAGACATCCAGTGCTGATCCAGGAGAACGAGAGAAAGCTGCTCAGCTACTCCAGTTGTTGGAAAGGTAAGGATTTTTGCCGCTGAATTCTCATATAAATTTTATCGTGACCAAAACTAATCCTGAAATTACCGGCTACATGTACAGAGGCAGCCCAATGTTCGTGCTCGTGTGTTAATAGACAGGTTCAGATTTGTGTTGATGTCTCCATCCGTTGTGTTGATGCCTATGCCAATGAACTGCAGTGTTCCAATGAACTGCAGTGTTCCAATGAACTGCAATGTTCCAATGAACTACAGTGTTCCAATAAACTACAGTGTTCTAATGAACTACAGTGTTCCAATGAACTACAGTGTTCCAATGAACTGCAGTGTTCCAATGAACTACAGTGTTCCAATAAACTGTAGTGTTTCAATGAACTACAATGTTCCAATGAACTACAGTGTTCCAATGAACTGCAGTGTTCCAATGAACTACAGTGTTCTAATGAACTACAGTGTTCTAATGAACTACAGTGTTCCAATGAACTACAGTGTCCCAATGAACTACAGTGTTCTAATGAACTGCAGTGTTCCAATGAACTGCAGTGTTCCAATGAACTACAGTGTTCCAATGAACTACAGTGTTCTAATGAACTGCAGTGTTCCAATGAACTACAGTGTTCTAATGAACTGCAGTGTTCTAATGAACTACAGTGTTCCAATGAACTGCCGTGTTCCAATGAACCACAGTGTTCTAATGAACTGCAGTGTTCCAATGAACTACAGTGTTCCAATGAACTGCAGTGTTCCAATGAACTACAGTGTTCCAATAAACTGTAGTGTTTCAATGAACTACAATGTTCCAATGAACTACAGTGTTCCAATGAACTGCAGTGTTCCAATGAACTACAGTGTTCTAATGAACTACAGTGTTCTAATGAACTACAGTGTTCCAATGAACTACAGTGTCCCAATGAACTACAGTGTTCTAATGAACTGCAGTGTTCCAATGAACTGCAGTGTTCCAATGAACTACAGTGTTCCAATGAACTACAGTGTTCTAATGAACTGCAGTGTTCCAATGAACTACAGTGTTCTAATGAACTGCAGTGTTCTAATGAACTACAGTGTTCCAATGAACTGCCGTGTTCCAATGAACTACAGTGTTCTAATGAACTGCAGTGTTCCAATGAACTACAGTGTTCCAATGAACTACAGTGTTCTAATGAACTACAGTGTTCTAATGAACTGCAGTGTTCCAATGAACTGCAGTGTTCCAATGAACTGCAGTGTTCTAATGAACTGCAGTGTTCCAATGAACTGCAGTGTTCCAATGAACTACAGTGTTCCAATGAACTACAGTGTTCTAATGAACTGCAGTGTTCCAATGAACTACAGTGTTCTAATGAACTGCAGTGTTCCAATGAACTGCAGTGTTCCAATGAACTGCAGTGTTCCAATGAACTGCAGTGTTCCAATGAACTACAGTGTTCCAATGAACTGCAGTGTTCTAATGAACTGCAGTGTTGTAATGAACTACAGTGTTCTAATGAACTGCAGTGTTCTAATGAACTACAGTGTTCCAATGAACTGCAGTGTTCCAATGAACTACAGTGTTCCAATGAACTGCAGTGTTCCAATGAACTGCAGTGTTCCAATGAACTTTTCTTTTGGATTTGTTACCAGTTTAAATTTGTTTTTCACCTGTATCCTTTTTTGTTGACAAAAATAATCCATATTTTTACCCATGTTGCTGACACTGCGAATTTAGGGTGTGTTTTTTGTCACGTCCGCATTCTAGATTTACCACATCTGGCAGCCTGTTGTTACAAAATAATTTTAAGCTTGCTATTACTAAGTGACAGTTAGAGAGTGTGAATGCTGATTTTGATGAACCTATCTCAAATTTAATTCCAAATTTAATCCCGAGTTGTCTTAATGCTAGGGGTTTTAAAATAGCATTACTTAATATAGTCGGTCTTCCGAATCATGTTGACGAATTACGCATATCTAAACTCTTTCTCCATTTTGACTTGCTTGCTTTGAATGAAACTAGACTGGATTCAACAATTTCGGATGGTCTAGTAAAAATTCGTGGCTACGATATCGTCAGGAACGACAGATCACGTAAAGGGGGAGATGTTTGTATCTACCTCCGTAGTACTATCAACTATAAAATTCGATATGATCTGGTCCCTGATGATGTTGAAGCAATTTGTTTGGAAATTTCTAAGCCAAATTCTCGAAACTTTATTGTTGCATCCGTCTATCGACCACCGAGCTCCACACCTGAGTTTTTCCTAACATTTGAAAAATTGATTGATGACGAAAATAAAGAACTTCACATCTTAGGAGACCTAATTTGTAATATGTTGACAAATATTCCTAATCACCCAACTAAAACACTTAAAGGTATTCTTGAAACATATCAACTATATCTCAACTCATCACTGAGGCTACACAAATAACAACTAGATCATGCACTCTTATAGATCATTATATTACATCTATGCCAGAAAAAATCGTTCAGTCTGGAGTAATACCCACAGGAATTAGTAACCATAGCCTAATCTTTGGTATTAGGAAAATAAATCTTGTATTAAGTACCCGCAAAAGTTAGAAAGTCGAAGTTAGAAACATGAAACGATTTAATGAAGAGAAGCGCTTTAATGAGGATCTGTTGACCCAACCTTGGGAACAGACTGTACTAAAGTCAGATACTGATTCTATGTGGGCCTGTTGGAAGGAATTATTTCTGGACGTTCTTGATAAACATGCCCCAATTCAACATATTAGGAAACGGTCTTCTAGTGTACCGTGGGCGACCGCGCATATTTGATAAATATACTTGATAGAGATAGAGATAGAAAGAAACATAAAGCGATGGTGACAAAACAAAGTGCCGATTGGGATGTGTATAAAACATCTAGTAATCGGGTAAATATTGCGACATGCCAAGGCTGAGTATTATCGTACTAAAATAGCTCACCAAAAAAAAAATCCTAAAGAGGCATGGAAAACAATTAATGATTTATTAGGCCGATCTCCCAATGACACCATTGTGAATGAATTGAAGATTAATGATTTTAATATTACTTCTACTGAAGAAATGGCTAATGCCTTCAATGAATATTTTACTAACAGTGGCCCTAACCTAGCTAATTCTATCGACGATTCCAATTCCTCGTTTGGAAACATTTGTTAAATCTGCTGAATCTAAAATGGATCGTTTTAAGCTGGTGTCAGTGGGTAAAGTAGTTAAGCTTTTGAATGGCTTATCCAATGGTAAAGCCGCTGGTCTTGATAAAATATCTGGTAAAATTTTACAAGTTGCTGCTAGTACAAAAATTGCCCCATCACTTACGCATATTTTTAATAATGGTTTAATTTCACATTGTTTTCCATATAAATGGCAAGACTTGTACCAATTCACAAAAAAGGCCCGCGGAATTTAACAGAAAATTATAGGCCAATTTCCATTTTGCCTGCAATAAGTAAAATAATGGAAAGAATAATGTAGGCTATGACCAGATATACCAATATCTTACTGATAACTTTCTACTTTCTGAGCACCAATTTGGATTTCGCAAATATCACTCTACTGCCTCGGCATTACTGTAGATAGTACGAACAGCTGGTATGTCAATATGGACCGCAAAATGTTTAATTTGGTTGTTTTGTTAGATCTTAAGAAGGCATTTGATATTGACGATGGTATTCTGTTGAGAAAATTAGAACTTTATGCCTCAAGGGTCTATTCTTGGGCCTCTCTTTTTCCTCATATACATGCATAAATGACCTTTCAGAATGTTTAAATCATGCTACTCCTCGACTGTGTGCCGACCATACCAATCTTACAGTAGCTGGTGAACGTATTCAGGAAATTGAGTTGAACATGAATAGTGATCTTACATGCATAAATGAATGGCTTTTAGCCAACAAACTGAGTCTTGATGTTGCAAAAACAGAATTTATACTTATTGGCTCAGCTCATAAACTAAATAACATTGTTACACAGCCAGATCTCAAAATTAATCATGTAAAAATTAAACAAGTCAATAAAGCTACCGTACTTGGAGTAGAACTTTGACGATAAACTATCTTGGAATAAACACATCGATAAAGTCGCTAAAAAAGTTACCTCAGGAATAGGAGCCATTAGGAAAATTCGTGATTTTGTTAACCGAGACACTTTGATTTCTATTTACAATGCCTTAATTATTCCTCATTTTGACTATTGCAGTGATGTATGGGATACCATGGGTGTCGGACTTTCAAACAGGCTGCAAAAACTTCAAAATAGAGCTGCAAGGGTAATAATGAACTTTAGTAATGATATTTCTGGACCAGAAGCAATAAAAGCGCTAGGATGAAAAACTCTGGAGACTCGACGAGCCAAGTATAAAGCTAAAACAATGTACAAGGTTTTAAAGAACTTGGCCCCGAGTTCGCTTGCGGAACTGTTTGAACACAAGAGAAATAAAATATTACTAAACACGACCTCAGGGCTCTTCTACCTCGCTGCAATTGCCCCCAACCAAAAACTGAAAAACCAAAGAAAAGCTTACGACGGAGCTAAAGTTTGGAATTCTCTACCTGCGGATGTGCGTAATTCGGATACATTGACAATATTCAAAGAAAGAATTCGTGCTCATGCCGCCTAAATTCTTTCAGGCGTCAAATTTTGAGTAGCACTTTTAACTTTTCTATTTTAAAAACGTTAGCATGCTGTTATTGACACATATACTTGTTTGCGTAGCGTAGCGTAGCGTAGCGTAGCGTAGCGTAGCGTAGCGTAGCGCAGCGTAGCGCAGCGTAGCGCAGCGTAGCGTGGTGTAGCGTGGTGTATCGTAGATGTGGTAAATTGTCCTGTATATATGTATGTATGTATGTAATTGTGTACGTTTTTATATGTAATTCACACAATTCGTGGAAACCAACTTAAAGTTGACGATGCTAGCGTGTGACTTTTAAATAAAGTTTTACTACTACTACTACTATCTAAAGGCCGAGACACGTATCGCGCCGCGTTGTCGAATCGCGTCCGGTGTGTCTCGGCCTTTAAGCTCTCTATTGTATGTGAGTGCACGCGACAATATATAGCGTCCCATTCCTTGTACTAGCCAGGGCCGTTGTGCGAATTGTATTGTTTTTCTCTATAGACGTTTCCTGTCGTATTGTGCGCCTGGTTTATCTAAGTATTCTCAAAGTCCAATGGAATTATCAGACCGCTTAGCAAATTTCCATCCAGAACTTACCATCCCTCTACTTGCAGGTATATAAATTTATTAAGAATATATATATTATAGTATGAAATTTACTTTCTGTGATTATAATACCTTGCAAACTGGTAATGCGTGCACCAAGGCCCGATTTTGCTGGAAATGGTGGGGGAAGTGGAAAAAATTTGACGAGGTGCAGCGCTGTAGCTCACCGCATGGAATGTTAGGGCTTAGAACGTACCCCCCCCCCCCCTAAAATCAACTACGTGACGTATGCATGTACTGTACATATGTATCAGTTTATTTATCATTGTACATATGTATCAGTGTATAAAGTGTATATTCTTTTTACACATTTCATTAAAAGGATTCTTGACATAAAAATTTGTCAAATTCTCACTTTGGTATATCATTTAACCTTGCCCAAGGTGCATGACTTTTCACGGGAGGTGCGAAACGATCTCTCAGGGGAGGTGAGCACTTCCTCACACCTCCCCTCAAAATCCGGCCATGGTGCTCACAGTTTCCAACATGTGAAGGGTGCATAGTTTCATATATTCGAATGTAAATAAAGCTTCCAGCGTTCTGACCACTCGCTAAGCTTGTAGGATTCCCGATTGAGACATGCCTGATAACATTCAGAATGATCACATTTTTTTATTGTTTTGTTTTCACAGAACTGACCTACAGGTTTGAGACTGCACCTTTTGCCTACCAACGAATTATCCTAAAATATATGTTACCGTGGCTATGTAATGTGCAGTTAGTAGATATTGCGTCGAACAGAACAACGCTCAATCCACGAGACGCTCCCGAGGAAGATCTAGCCAATAATACTGATAGAGAGAATCCATTACCTCATGTGGAGATGACAGGTGATGGATGGGGTTCAAGCAAAGCTACTCAACTTGTTCTTAATAATCTATTCTATCTAACTGTCAAGGTACTTGTTTGAGATTTAACAAATATAAAACATTTTCCTTGTTGATATACAGTTATATTCAACACGAGCGGAAATTAGGAAAACGAGAAAATCGGAAATTGGAACGGAAAATCGGAAATTCAAGGGTTCAAACAAAGCTACTCAACTTGTTCTTAATAATCTATTCTATCTAACTGTCAAGGTACGTGTTTGAGATTTATATCAACACGAGTGGAAATTGAGAACAAGAAATTGTGTGGAAACACAACGCGCGAAGGGCGGAGTGTTTTCACACAATTTCGAGTTTTCCCAATTTCCACGAGTGTTGATATAACTGTACAGTATATCAATACGGGAAAATGTTATATTTTTTATAATATACCACAAAGAAATATAAAGAAAGAAATTTTCTGTGTTGACATTGAGTTCTATCAACACGGCTCTTAACCAATCAGCGTTCAGAATTTACAAATGCTATATTATAATATGTTTTCATCCGCGTTGGAATGTGTTGGATTTGTCTTGCTTTGCCGAGTAAACTGAATACGTGATTAGCCCATTGTATAATTTACAGTATGCGCGATACATAACGTAATTGACGATTCCCCTTATTACGTTTTCGTAGCGCTTTGCATTGTGGTTATAGTGGTATCACTGATATTCAAGATTGCTTATTTTTTGTCCTGACCCGTGCAAGAACTTTTAAAAAAAGCTAGGGTCAGGTGCGCGATAGCCAATAGCAAAATATTCGCGAAAACATTCAATATTTTCATTCGAGGCCGCTATCTTTATCAGTGATACCACTATAACCACAATGCAAAGCGCTACGAAAACGTAATAAGGGGAATCTCGAATTCGCTGGTGGAGGTACGCAGAGTGCTCTCTCTAGGTTCGTGTTTGTATTTATTATTTGGACACAGGTTAACATTACACTATAACAAATTTCACAGTACATACTAAACGTATTTTTTGCTCGAACAAATGATGTTATTGCATTATAACAATATGAAAGTACATACTTTCGAAGAAAATTAGGAAGGTTGTCGCAGTCCTCAGAGGAAGCATCTTTCATCTCGCTTCCATTCTTGTTCTTGACTCATTCTTCTGAAAAAAGTTAGTCAATGTTTTGTCGTGAAATTACGGGTATTCCCGTGTAATTGCAACAGGAAATGGTAAAAATGGTGGGTTAAGAAACACATCAACATAGTTGCTATTGTAATCTGTATATGAGCGAATTTTGCGAAAGATCAGACAAACTTCTTTGTAACATTGATAACGAAGTGCTCCCCTACCCTGAAAAATATGTTACAGTCTCCTTTTTGTTTTCCTTATAGTATGGTGAAGATTTTAATGCAGAACTTGAAGAGCTTTGGAGTGCTTTGTCTAACGCATGGATTGGAAATAATCATGAGATTATGAATTACCTCAACATTCTTGCTGGAGTTGCAGGCCATAGGGAATTTTTTCCACACGTAAGAAATTCATTCAATATTTTATAAGTTTATGCTTTTAGTTTGTACTGTACATTTGACCAAGTGGCCGTTACCACAATCCTTTGCGAATCTAGATCAGTCATCATATGTAAATATTTTGTATATATGAACGTAAAGACTGACAGCATTTTCTCTGCCTTAGTTCTCTCATTCAGACCCAGTGGGCACTTATACTATCGCAATGGTGCCTTCCAGTCACGATTCAGTGATCGAAATGCTGCATTGTCTCTTCATTGTTTTGAAAATTCCATTCTTCTCCATTCCAACCATTCACACGTTTTACAAAAGGGCCTATTGCATTTTTCTATGATCATGAAATTGTTTGGTAGTTGCATACTTTAAACTACTACTTATGAGCTGTATTTTTTATACTTATGAGCTGTATTTTGTATACTTATGAGCTGTATTTTTTATACTTATGAGCTGTATTTTTTATACTTATGAGCTGTATTTTTTATACTTATGAGCTGTATTTTTTATACTTATGAGCTGTATTTTTTATACTTATGAGCTGTATTTTTTATACTTATGAGCTGTATTTTTTATACTTATATGAGCTGTATTTTTTATACTTATGAGCTGTATTTTTTATACTTATGAGCTGTATTTTTTATACTTATGAGCTGTATTTTTTATACTTATGAGCTGTATTTTTTATACTTATGAGCTGTATTTTCGTTCACTGCACACCTCAACTCTACTCACGGTGTTGAATTTTAACACTCTGTTCTAAACCCTGGAACATTTACTGGAAATTGTTTTCAAAATCTCCACTATGGAAATAGTATGCTTCCTAATTGGAAATAATTCCATTGTAATGGCCATTCCCATGCTGTGGATATAGTATGGAAATAGTGTGGATATAACTATAAGTTCTTTGTAAGGTTGGCATGGCGATAATATATGTTATTGGTTGTGGAAACACAACGTATATCTTTTATTGCAAAATAATTATGCAATAATGAATATACGTGGTGTGGATTTAGTGTTGCAACTGATTTCCATAGTATCGATTTCTCTATTTTTAGCGATTAATGTTGTATATCATTTACAAATTATTAGGGTTTTTTTCTACTCTTTATGCTTCTGTGAACTAGGACAGTAGTTACTAGACATGGTGAAATAAGAATGTGTGAATTGGGTATTAACAAGCTAGTTTTGTGACGCCATTGAATAATGTATTTTTAATATTTCAGGCAAAAAGACTTGTTGTGTATTTAGTCCGCGCCAACAAAGAGGGAACAATACAAACTCTAATGGATGAACTTCAGGTAGGCAATTAAATTTTAAAAATCACAAAGCACGTTAATATTATATTAGTTCATTATCAGACTTTCTAAATTTCTGTTCTCTATATAGTTAACTGAACCAGTCGCCCCTCAGTTTGAACGATGTGATCAACCTCCATATTACACCATCCTATATAAAGAGCATTCAGCTTCAAACCTTGCTGAGAGTGACGAAAGTAAAGAAGGAAACAGAAATGAAATTGAGATTAAAAAAGATATTGATGTGATTGTAGAAAATGCAGTAGAAAATGTCGAACAAATGCCAAACAATATATCAGGTAGTGAAGCATTATTTAAAAATTTTGTATGTCATAGGTAACATGGCTTTACCAGTAGATTACCATGTAAACACAATGTTCTTTTCTGAGGGAATCCATGCCTTGGCAAGTTAAGTTCTGTTATCAAGGCTGCAGAGGGAGCAAGCCAGCACGAGAAGCAATTTATTTTCATCATATAGTGTTATTGGGTGCATGGTTATTTGGAGATAAAAAATATTTAAGTGGCAGTCCCGCTAAGAGCGGTCCGACTTTGACTTCGGAAAATAGATTTCCTTTATTTTTTGTGTGTTGAAAGGCATTGGTATACAAGTGCCCAAAATAAATTTATTTTTTGAAAATTCTTTTTTATGGCTTCGCTAGACGCCGAAACTCGTTTTACCCATGCAGAGCTAATTCCAAGCAAAATCGAAGGTTGAATTTCGGTATGATTGTAGAGCCGCGCTGTGTCAAAGCGCCTGACTATTTCCAAATTTCAACTAGATCAACAAGTTAAGATACAATTCAGGTTCCCTGTTCCAAAAAATAAGAGCATTTGAATAAATTGTGAATAAACGACAGCGACTTGACGGCAGACCGGTTTTTGCTTCTTGTTCGGTCTACAAAATTACACTAAAATCGAAGCTTGAGATCTCCAAATGGGGACCTAAAATTACGCTGAAATGTGCTTGGCTGTAATGATTTATACTTATTTTCAGAAGATCTGAAGAAAAACCTGCGGGTATCAATCTGTATTTGGCGCGAGTTAAGATTTTCTGGGCCCATAATCAATGATTTTTGCATAATTTATAGCTAATTAACATATTTCTTGAGGGCGCTAAAAGTAAACAATTTCTTTCTGACTAACATATCTCAGATGAAAGAGACTACCACAGCTAGTAATACCCTTTTTGTAAATATAGTCGTAATGTTCTTTTCCTGACACGCTGAGAGAGCTTTGTTTTTGAATGTTATGCCACATTTATTCAGTCTGACCAGATTCATAAATGTCACGAACTTGTATATTTCAAAAATATCAGTACCACAAATCAGAATTCACAAAGACCGATTATTCTTTCCTTGATTCAGTTGATGGATTTAGTTGATTGATTTAAAAAACTATAAGTATAATAGAACATTCCATGTGTTTCCATTGCCCCTATATAGGGCTAGAATTTTTATCAATATGTTCTATTTTTCTGTGGCAACGGCATATTAAAGGCAGGTGTAAAAGTCGGATCGGATTGCCAGTCCGGGTCGGATTAGGTCGGATCGTGCAGGTATAAAAGTCGGACCGGATCGCCAGTCCGGGTCGGATTAGGTCGGATCGTGCAGGTATAAAAGTCGGACTGGATCGCATTGATGACCGAATCGCTAGTCCGGCCGTGCCAAATTGCCAAAACGAAAATACACGCTTCACATGTGAAATTTGAAGATGCAGAACTCTGATCAGAAACATCTACACTATTGTTTTCATTAGACATTATACTTATATGCAGCTTTATTATCACAAAATTTTAAAATAGCCATGGCAATAGCTGAATTCCGTCTGGTATAAGTATGAAACGAAAACTATCGGACGGATAAACTCGAAAAAATAGGAGACCCTCACCATCCAAGTTTCTTTTGAACGTTACGAGCAGAAACCCGTCTTGATGTATTCGTCTTATATAAATTTAAGACGGATTTCCGTCTAAGACGAGAAACTCGTCAGACGGAAAAGTTGAAACGCGGAGAACCCGTCGTTAACCGGATTTATACCAAGACGAGTTTCTGGTCTGAGACGAGTTTCCCGTCTTGGACGGAAATCTGTCTTCTAATATGAATTCAGCTAATGACGCGTAGACGTTAAACAATGGGCCTCGACTAATATAAAGCAAAGCTTAAAGTATAATTCACCGTCTTTCCATAACATTTTCCCAACACAAGTAAAGGCTTTTAAAGTGCCCCTAACCTGTTGTATCCATTATTCCGATTTGCCACGCTGTGTAAATAACGCGGGAAAGATGCAAACTTCCATTTGTGTAAGTAACATTTCCCGGAATATCCTGATATTTCTAAATTTTCTAAAGATCCGACTTGGTCCGACCTAATCCGACCCGAACTGGCGATCCGGTCCGACTTTTACACCTGCCTGCATATTAACAAAATACGACACAAAAATGTACATTCGAATGTACGTTTGAATTGAATTTACTTAACGCGAAATAAATACTAAAATAGGAATTTTCTATGCTGGGTTAGTAAAAGAAAAAGCATAATTTTAATTGTACGTAATTTCGATGAATACTATAAAAAAAATTATACGCATTGTTTATATAAATTAGCTAACATTTACACATTTATTACGATAGTAGCGACGTTTGTTTTGGCCATGTAACAAAATATATATAAACTATAAGCATTCTGATCGGGTTATTTAACAAAAATATCAAACTTGTGTCTTGTGAATTTTAATTCACAAAACTTTTGAAATTTATTCTCAGCTATGGAGCTCACGAACATATTTTTTTTCAAAGAAAAATATTGAAATTCGATTATTTATAAAATTGATATTTTTGTTAAAAATGTTAGCTAATTTATATAAACAATGCGTATAATTTTTTTATAGTATTCATCGAAATTACATACAATTAAAATTATGCTTTTTCTTTTACTAACCCAGCATAGAAAATTCCTATTTTAGTATTTATTTCGCGTTTAATAAGTAAATTCAATTCAAACTTAATAAATAACATTCTGATATGTCGGTCATAAATTCGAATGTACATTTTTGTGTCGTATACCGTATTTTGTTAATATGCCGTCGCCACAGAAAAATAGAACATATTGATAAAAATTCTAGGCCTATATAGGGGCAATGGAAACACGCGGAATGTTCTATTATACTTATAGTTTTTTAAATCAATCAACTAAATCAATCAACTGAATCAATGAAAGAATAATCGGTCTTTCTGAATTCTGATTTCTGGTATATTTTTGAAATATACAAGTTCGTGACATTTATATGAATCTGGTCAGACGGAATAAATGTGGTATAACATTCAAAAACAAAGCTCTCTCAGCGTGTCAGGAAAAGAACATTACGACTATATTTACAAAAAGGGTATTACTAGCTGTGGTAGTTTCTTTCATCTGAGATATGTTAGTCAGAAAGAAATTGTTTACTTTTAGCGCCTCTCAAGAAATATGTTAATTAGCTATAAATTATGCAAAATCATTGATTATGGGCTCCAGAAAATCTTAACTCGCGCCAAATACAGATTGATACCCGCAGGTTTTTCTTCAGATCTTCTGAAAATAAGTATAAATCATTACAGCCAAGCACATTTCAGCGTAATTTTAGGTCCCCATTTGGAGATCTCAGGCTTCGATTTTAGTGTAATTTTGTAGACCGAACAAGAAGCAAAAACCGGTGTGCCGTCAAGTTGCTGTCGTTTATTCACAATTTATTCAAATGCTCTTATTTTTTGGAACAGGGAACCTGAATTGTATCTTAACTTGTTGATCTAGTTGAAATTTGGAAATAGTCAGGCGTTTTGACACAGCGCGGCTCTACAATTTACCGAAATTCAACCTTCGATTTTGCTTGAAATTAGCTCTGCACGGGTAAAATGAGTTTCGGCGTCTAGTGAAGCCATAAAAAAGAATTTCAAAAAATAAATTGATTTTGGACACTTGTATACCAATGCCTTTCAACACACAAAAATTAAAGGAAATCTATTTTCCGAAGTCAAAGTCATCGGACCGCTCTTAGCAGGACTGCCACTTAAGACGTAACCGGGAGTTGTTGTGAACTGTAGCCAGCTCGTACCTATCCGGTCCTGTGATTCTGATGTAACACGCTGTACCTACAAGCGCAGTTGGGAAGACCTTAGGACAAGTTCATTACTCCATGCACGAAATAACCCTTAACTTTTGTTTCTGTTAACCGAAAGGCCCATATTTCGCAATTGTAGCTTCTTGCAAAGATGTAGATGAGAAATTCACACCTTATGAAGAAGACAACAAAGATAACCCAGGTCCAGTTTCAGATAAGCTTGACTGGGCCAAAGCTTGGGTGTCCTCTGTACATAATAGTCGTCAGCGATGTTGTACGTCAGGACTGCCATTACCAATACCTCTATCAGAACTTCGCTTTGCTGCTTTGGTTGATGTATTGCCTCTACCACAGGTGGTCACACCTTTATACAGGTACATGATATATTTAGTGATGCAAGACTGAGTTTAAAACGACTTTATTTATATTGGTTAGCTGTTCTTCCTAAACGTCCAGTGGAGCCACCCCTTGTTATTACAGCTGTATCAGTTCGAGACTGTTCTCCCTTGAGGCACTTACCATTGTTTCCCGTTTATTCAGTGATTTCAAAAAATACTAGAATAAGTTCTAATTTTGGAACAAAGGCACCCTGTATAAGACAATTAATGTTAGTAACTTCTGACTTGCTACCTACAATCGTATACTGTGCGAGTTTTAAAATTCACTAATATAGGTCAATGTACCGTTTGTATTTATCACGTCTATTTTTATTTAATTTCAGGTGCAATTTTTCCTTAATCCTGCTCAGTGAAGTTATACGTGATCAACCAAGAGTGAATTGGTTACCACATCTTCCGCTTATGCTACATGTTGTCTTTCTAGGTATACCATTGTCTACATTCACAATCTGTACTGACCATGTTGGCCATGTTACCGCGGCCAAAAATGGAAAAACACGAACGTAGCATCATTATTTAGACAAAGCCGTACATAGGTTCATAAAATAAAGTGTTGCCACTTACAACAGACAGAATTTCCTCCTATTTATGTCGTAAGAAATTTTGTAAAATGTAGTTCGTTAAAATTGGTAAAAGTGGCCTGTCACAAGTATATGTTTTGCCTAACTGCATAGGTAATGCATGGGAACCGTATGGTGTTAAAACGGCTTTAAATGCCCCCCCCCCCCCGAGAGTTTCTAATATAACGTATTTAATGTCGGTGCCAAATATGAGGGTGTGCTCGCCTTGTATTTGGTTGTAAAGCATAGAACAGCAACAGGCATAGTCTATTGTTGGCGAGCATAACTGGAACCGTATTTTGGGTATTCTGGGTAATTGACTGATACGCACCCTGGAAATTTAGAAACACTCACAAAATCTAAAATTGTAAGTGTATTTTTAATGACTTGCTGTTTTGATTTGCATTGTAGGTTTCGACCACAGTAAATCTCTTATTCACGAACATTGTAAAAGTTTGCTGGTCAACCTGGCAGTTATTCTTGTGTTACAAGGAGATTACTCAAGTATTGCTCATGCTCTCATGAAGTTTCAGTATTTCTCACATTGTGCTGCTGACCAACGTTATAACGCGGGTTCAAGCATACCGCGTGATGGCACTGTACTCTCTCTTCCAGAAAAAGAAGACCCAAGTGAAAGGTATGTAAGGATTCATTTTGGCTTGATTTTTTATTAAAGTCTCTACACATATTGCCATGGTCTCGCATGTTGATATACAATATCTTTGTTGCAGTGACTCGAGTAAATTAGAGAATCAAGGTGGAGAAAATAATGTTAACTGGACGGAGAAAGTGAAATGGCTCATCTGGTATTTAACGCAGAGGTATGTCAAGTGTTTTGATATCGGAATAGTTGCTCCGATTTCCAAATTAAATTTGATGTTAATCTTTCTATTGATGATAATGTTATATAGGAGTTATAAAATATCAGCAAGTTTATACATGCCCATAGCATTATAAACTTAAGTTAATGAAACAAGCGTTAGGACAAGAGTAAAGTTGTGCAAAGTCTCCTGGAGTACAAAGGTCTGGTACAAAGGTCAATCTGTGAATCGTGTGATCATACACGTGCAAAGCACAAGGCTGAATTAACAACAAACCATTGTCAAATCTCTTCCCATGCGCGCGGGAAAATAGACCAATCAGGCTTCACCTCTTCGTCTGCATAGTTTCCTGCTTGGATCAGTAAGCCTCATTGTGTCACTTGCAAGCAAAATTGTATGACCACTGTGGCAAAGTACTTCAAAATTACCACCCATCCCACCCTTCAAGGATTTTGCACCACTATATCATAACTTGTATCACATAATAAATAAAAATCTGTAAATATTGTTTTGATATGCAATCCGTCATCAAGATTCACATGAAATGCAATTCATGTAGTGTTCTAGATAAAGTATTATGGAGTAGTTTACTGGTTAATATGTTATTACAGGCACATCTATATTTTGTAATATACAGTATTGGAATTGACTTTGCAAGTCTGGTTTTAAAAATAAAAATATTTGGTTGTTTGGGGAAGGAGTGCTTCCAAAGGTCACCCTCAACCCCATAGACTCACACAAATCAATGTATTATACAGTGTATTGTAAAGTAAACAATGACCATCACGGGGATCTACTACCCCTTGGACATTAAAGTAAACAATGACCATCACGGGGATCTACTACCCCTTGGACATTAAAGTAAACAATGACCATCACGGGGATCTACTACCCCTTGGACATTTAAGATGCCCATCTCAGGGATCTACTACCCCTTGGGTAAAGTCCAACATGGGGGAACCACAACCCCCTGATGACATATAATTATATCATAATCATATTGCTGTAATAGTGAGTCTGTGGGGCGAAACTTTGGCCACATTTTAAAGTATAATCGGAGCATTTCTCCTCGACAACCCTTCTCCCACAACATTGTGTGTGTCATAGTTGTTTTCTTAATTGTCCTAGAATATTTGCTTAACGAATTGGTGCATTAAATTCTGTTAGTGGTCGAGAGCTGTGTTTCTGTAGCTGGATAGAGACACGAAAATAGTCTGAAACAACTTTACCAAAACAAGTATTTAACTATTGAGCACCAGCGCTGTCCCTTGACCAAATCATCTGGGGTTAGACAGAGTAAAATAGCAAAGTAGGGCGCACTAAGACGCAATCTAACGTGGTTCGTTATTTATAACTAGACAGATGGGCAGATGATGTGCTGGAAAGATTTTTTCTGCGCTTCGCTTGGTTGCGAGAGCCTTGCACCGGAATCGCAGGCCCGATTCCTGCCAGAGGACCTTGTGTTGCATTTTTCGCAACCGTTCCTGGTCATATCGTCACTTGGATTATTCATCGACTTCAAATGATAGTCTGATTAACCCATTGAGCGCTCTCCATCCCCTTGACGAATAAAATCGTCTGGCATTAGATTTAGTAACGTTGAGTTAATCTTGAAACAATCTTGATTGTATTTGTTTTTGTAGCGAGGGTAAACCTCTGTGGAGTTTTGAAGACATAACAGCAAAATGTCATGATATAAGAAGTGCTACAGAGTTAAGTGATTTCCTGGTACGAGTCCTGGATATATTTGACAGCAATTTTCAAGGAAGTGATATCCGGGGTAGTTGGGCACGAGTTGCGTCTAAATGGGCCATTTCATGTTCATCACGACATTATGCAGGAAGATCGTTTCAAGTATTACGTGGTTTAGCAGTCCAGTTATCTTGGTCAGTTCTGTCGGATATTTTATCGCGTCTTGCAGAGTCCATTGGAGATAATAACGAAGATGTTCAGGTATGATCACCATTAAATATTGGTATGTCACTGCAAAAATCCCCGAATGTTTTGACTCAAATATTTGAGAAAAATATGCACCCACTGCAGTGACTCGCAAATTTATGAGTAAATTTACTCAATTTTGCGAGTTAAGTTTCAAATTTGAGTAAAGATTTACCTTTCCAAAAAATAAGAAAATATGCTCATAAATTATTTTACACGAGTTTTCTGTTCAGTCAAAATACTCAGGGATTTTTTGCAGTGTAGGGGATTGGTAGAGACGTAGAATGTTCTACCGCCTGTCTGTCCCTATTTATACAGTTCTCAAGTGTCTGTAAGGAAGTAGGTGTACATGGTGTGGGTGTGCTAATGGTGTTTACTTGTGGCTGAGAGTTTATAAGCTTAATTGTGAAGGGCGTAGCTCAAATCTGATCGAGTTCAAGGCGTTCTAAGCCACCTCTGGCAGCCACCTTATAACTCATGTCTGGGAGGGTTAGTTTGAGGATAACTTGGGCGAAGGGAATATACCCTTCCACATGTCACCACTGCAAATTAGCTCTGTGCCATTATCAATATGCAACTTAGTCAAAAACATTATTGGCAACGTGTTTAGCATCGTTTCGCATAACATGAATCAATTGGCTTTTTCCTCAGGGTTATGTAATGGAAATACTGCTAACATTAGATTCAGTGGTTGAACAATCTGGTGAAAATCACGTCAAAGCTAAAGTTGTAATTCTCAATGTGGGAGATGAAGAGGATAATGATGAGAAAGACAATGGTCAACAAATGCTTGGAACATCCTCCCCAGAAAGATCATTTCGTAATTTATCAAATAAATCATCCGGTGGTCACATTAGATCATTGAGCAGTGGTTGTGATCTGCGCGGAAGATTTAGTCAATTTGAGGCACTCTCTCCGAAAACGAGGAGTGTCAGTCTTCAGTCATTACGTCTTACAAATGACAACACTACAACATTGAGTCAAACAGACTTACTATCAAGAATATTCTGGGTTGCTGCATCGTTGTTGGAGTCTGATTATGAACACGAGTTTGTCATGGCTGTTAAACTCTTATCAAAGGTAATTGTAACAAATATTTTTTGTTTGTAATCACGTGATTATCTAGTAGTACAATAAAGTTTTTAATACACGTTCTCTCTTGCAGGTGTTAAACATAATAGATTTGACTCACAGAAGTACGCTGGAACGTCTCGAATCACTTCTTTATAAATTAAAATGGTTCCAGTTTTCTGGTGTACAAATGTTGCTGCTCAAGGTAACTCATACTGTACATTCACGATTTTCAAAATTGTATGACTTGTACCAGTCCAGTTGCTTAAGAAAAATATGTTACTACGCCAGATTATAGCAGCCTTTCTGCAATTCCACAGAAAGAGTACTCGAAAATATGTAATCAGAGAGGGACAACCACCTATAATGTGGTGCGCTGGTGGATGTCAACAAATTTCCTTTAACGAAACTATTTTAGACATTAAGAAAATGATTACTATCATTAGATTGATTAGATTGACGCTGCAATAACCTCTATTCTATGATTCAACTTTAGATTATTGATAGAATTGTTCATCTCATCCTCTAGTAACATATTTTGAGGCTAACACGAAGGTCCAATATATTTCTGTCACTTCTTTATCAGTAGGGAGTTATTGCTGTCAGCCGTAGGAAGAAGAGTTGTGTGAGAAATATGGTGCCTTAACTTACCTTAGAAGTCCTTACGTCACGTCACTGTCAGACAATGAATATTTGACCCACATATATCCCACATTGCATTGCGTGTACCTAATGTTTTGATGGATTGAAAATTGCGTAACGTAAGCACTTATAAGGGTTATTGGGCTTCTCGCGATCTTGCCATTGTAAGGACCAAAGCAACTATGCTTTGCTACAACATATGGACAGTGCTTATATCTATTCTCCCCGGATTTCTTTATTCATAGGGCTTGACATCCGCTGCTACAAGTGCTCCAACCATTGAGTTAATCAAAAATACAACACCCTACAGTAATATTTCTATTATGGACGTCTCAGAGTATTCAGGTTTGTGTTTAACACATCCACTATCTGTATATTAGTAAATAAGAACAGCAGGTTGAAACTAAAATCAGCTGAAACTAAAATTAACTAAAATTAATCATTCATCTAGGTGTGGCTCTGAGTATCCTGGCTTTATTGCCTTACATGATTCAACGTTTTAATGAACCAGATGAGTTTTGTTTAAGTTGTGCAGCAACCGTCGGTCAGGTAAGATCTGCATGTTGTGTTCATGTCGGAGGGTCGGTAAGATCTGCATGTTGTGTTCATGGCGGAGGGTCGGTAAGATCTGCATGTTGTGTTCATGGCGGAGGGTCCGTAAGATCTGCATGTTGTGTTCATGACGGAGGGTCGGTAAGATCTGCATGTTGTGTTCATGACGGAGGGTCGGTAAGATCTGCATGTTGTGTTCATGACGGAGGGTCGGTAAGATCTGCATGTTGTGTTCATGACGGAGGGTCGGTAAGATCTGCATGTTGTGTTCATGACGGAGGGTCGGTAAGATCTGCATGTTGTGTTCATGGCGGAGGGTCGGTAAGATCTGCATGTTGTGTTCATGGCGGAGGGTCGGTAAGATCTGCATGTTGTGTTCATGACGGAGGGTCGGTAAGATCTGCATGTTGTTTCATGGCGGAGGGTCGGTAAGATCTGCATGTTGTGTTCATGACGGAGGGTCGGTAAGATCTGCATGTTGTGTTCATGTCGGAGGGTCGGTAAGATCTGCATGTTGTGTTCATGGCGGAGGGTCCGTAAGATTTGCATGTTGTGTTCATGACGGAGGGTCGGTAAGATCTGCATGTTGTGTTCATGACGGAGGGTCGGTAAGATCTGCATGTTGTGTTCATGACGGAGGGTCGGTAAGATCTGCATGTTGTGTTCATGACGGAGGGTCG